CAGTAAAATTATTGTTAGGATACTCTTTGAAATTAAAAATTAATCAAAGTCTCTTTCTTAATTATCCAAATTAATAGAAACAAACTTTGGAAATGTCTGGGGACACAAATACTAATGGTTAATTTTGATTCCTATAACAGAAAACAAATTGAATTTAAAAAAAAACAAAACAATTATTCACTTCAAGTTTTTTTTAAAAAAGTCATCCACATTTCAACATATTTAATTCAGTTACAAATTGACTAAGTTTATTTTGATTGGTCAATTTGCAAGGCATTACAACGTGAGCGCTTTTCCAGCAGCAGAATTAAACAAGCACAATTATTACACTGTCAGTGTAATGGAATAACCTCCACCCTTCAAAAGCCTTTATATTTTTTTAATTTTGTGTAAGTTGTAAAATTTGCATAATGTGTGTTTGTTACAAAGTTCGATGATCAAATTATGGCCCTTTGCAAGTAGGATAAAAATCTTTGTATCTGCTTTATATTATGCAAATTTTCAATGCTTACAGGCGGCAAGTTTGTAAACTATATCTTCTGCATTTTGTGTTAAAGTCCATTAATATAATTATATTAAGTGAAAAAAAATATTTTACTTCTTTTAATCCTGTTAAGTTTTAAATTTATATTGTCTGAAGCAGTGTAAAACAAAAACTTACGTGAGGACTTAGAAATTTTGATTAGTATAGAAAGATAGCGACCCTATTAAAGTTCATCTAATAATTATAAACAAACCTACGAATAATTGTAGATAAATCTTTGAAGAACATTAAGTAGGAAAATGAGAACATCTTCAACATGATTTTCATAAAATCATACTTGAATTAATATTGACCAAGTATGTTTTAAATAGACAGTACTTCAAACAGTACAATGTAATGCACTGCAGTTCAGTTATATCTTTATTTAAAAGGAGAATTAATTAGCTTGCAACTATTAGAACTCAACTCAACACAAAAGTTCCTCTGGGTGTTTCGCATATACCCAATCAGATTTTGATATTAACAGATCAGCAAAAGTAACCGTTGTTTTGATGAGAACTCAGCTCTGAGTACTGTTCTAAGAGTAAATTCCGTTATCCTTCTTGGTATCAATATCTGTATCAATCTAAAAAATTTCTACCCATCAGTCAAACACAAGAATTCTATCTATATATATCTAAACTAGTGGTTTTACCAAAGAAAAAAAAAACAGATATACGGTACAACTCATATAAGTAATCACTGGATTGTTAATTTGGATTCTTATTAAAGACAACAGGCCTACCAGAAAATATGAGTAAAATATTCTATTCAGTTTATTTTTCAAATGCCTTTAAAAAGAAAACTGAACTAGAAAAATAGTCAGTTTCAACCTTATTTTCAATAAAATCAATAAAAACAAAATTGAATGTCATGATTTTGACTTCAACATTGCATTCTTGTCCAGTGCAATTCTTATCAAGATAATCTGTTACAGTAGTAATTCTCATCCGAATAAAGAAATTTATGAATCGGTCAAAAACAAGTGTTCATTTCATCTGGAGGATTTCGCCTACCCAAAATAGTTGTTCGATGAAAAAATAGAAATAGGTTACTTTATCGAAAAGTCCTTCGATAAATTTTTGATTGTTAATTTTCATTCATACAAAAGAGAACAAATATTTAGAAATTGCGAATAAAAAAAAAATCCCCATTAATTAAAAAAAATTTCTTGAACACAAAAAAAGAAAAGTGTTGATTGCAGTAAAATTATTTTTAGGATACTCTTCGAAATAAAAAAAAATCCACTCATCACTCAAAGTCAAGTTTTTCTTTCTTCGGAATGTTTTGCGCGTACCAAAACTTATCATCAATACGTAACTTTGTCAAAAAGTCTTTCGACACAAATACTGATGGTTAATTTTGATTCCTATAAAAGAGAAGAAACATTAAAGAAAATGTGAATTTAAAAAAAAAACAATTATTCACTTCAAGTTTAATCACTTCAAGTTTTTTTTAAAATTCAGAAATAGAAATAGTGTGGATTTTCAATCATTTTTCGAATTCAGTTGCAAATTGACTAAGTTTATTTTGATTGGTCAATTTGCAAAGCATTACAACGTGTTGCATTGTATTGCAGCAGAGTGCAGTATCTTAAACAAGCACAATTATTACACTAGTCAGTGTAATGGAGATATTCCCCCACCATCCTCCCTTCAAAGGCAGCCTTTATATACATTTTTCCTTTGCGACTGAAAGTAAGTTGTAAAATTTGCATAATGTGTGTTTGTTACAAAGTTCGATAACTCAAATTATGGCCCTTTGAACAACGTAGATAAAACGATCTTTGCTTTCTGCTTTATATTATGCAAATGTTCAGTCAATGCTTACAGGCGGCAAGTTTGTAAACTATATAAGACTTCAGAGAGATTTCCAGAATAATCAAGTGCAGAGTCAGATTAATTAACAGTATTGTCGCGTGTGAAGTTTTGTGTCAATGTGAGTTTATCTCACTAAACAAGTACTGATACAGAAAAAGCAGTATTGAATATCGCATTTGATTGGTCTGTATTTGAATCGACGATAGAGTCGTATAAACTTTATTCATTTGTCAAACAAGAGCGTCCATTTGTTTTGACTGTTTTACATACCCCAACAAGGCATCACAGCAACAAAATGTAACTTTATTATAAAGTATTTTGTCGATATTATTGATTCCTAATTCAGATATAAAGTAAGAGAGCTACCCTATTAAAGTTTCTCTAATAATTGTAAACAAAACTATGAATAATTGTAAATAAACCCTGTATAGGAAAATGAGTACATTTTTAGCTTTCTTTTCATAAAATCATGCTTGAAATACCGGTAATGTTGACCAAGTATGTTTTAAATAGACAGTACCTCAAGCAGTCCTCAACTCACCACAAAATTTCCTCTGGATGTTTAGCCAATACCCTATCAGACTTCGATATTAAAAATTCAGCAAAAAATATAGTTGTTTTGATGAGACCTCAGCTCTAATTATAAGATTAAATCCCGTTTTTCTTCTTGGTGAATATCTGCATCATTTTCAAAAACAAGAATTCTGTCTTTATATCTGAACTAGTGGTTAGACCAAAGAAAAAAGTCCAGATATACAGTATATCATATTAGTCTCGACATAACTACTAGATTGTTAATTTGGATTCATATCAAAGACAAGAGGCATACCAGAAAACGTTAATAAAATATTCCATTCAGGCCGGAATTAAAAATATCTTTGTTTCCCCTAACCCGACCCTAAATTCTCAAGTTGGGTCGGTAGGTAGGTAAACAATTTTATTTTCTGAAGCAGCTTTGAAAATACATTCGAAAATTTAATGAAAAATTACCTTTCAAAATAAGAAAAGTACAAAAGAAAGCGATTTGTGATCAAAGTGCTACGTATCATACATATGCCGTTTAAAAGCAGAATTCATGATTAATTAATTCACAACTGTTATTTTACATTTATATAATTTGAATAAAATAGACAAGATTGTCAAAAACGGAAAGACCAGACATACGAGTATATACCAATGTACTTGTTTGAGGGCAATGAGACTTGCAGTGGTTCTGGAGCATTTTGCTTTGGAGTTAAATCGCAGGTTCAAATCCCAATGAGTAACGTTGAAAACGGTCCTTCAAAGGAGACCATAGAAACTTATGCCCAGTGTCGCAGAAGATGCTGGCTCAAGAAAGATCCCCCACTGCTTAATGGCAAAAAAGTGCCGAGTAGGTCTAAAGTTGGAGCAATGGGGAAATGCTTAAATGTCGTCCTAACAAATCTCGAAGGGATTAAAAGCAAAGAAACAACCAATCTTCAAGGGCCCAGTTAAAGAAAAATACACTGGACGTCTCAGGAAGCTGAATCCTAATTTCAAAACTATTTGGAAAGAGTATGTTAACAATATTTAATTGAACCAAACCAAATCTACAAATTATGAAAATGCTATATACAATGTCATAGTCACGAAGTTTAACCACTAAATAAAGGCAGGAAGAAAGGACATCTGAATTATATTTATCAGGATGAATATGTAGGCATATTTACAACAACTTCTATAGTTCCATAATGACATATAGTAAACATAGGAACAAGATGAACTAGATATTAGATCAAAACTCAAATAAAATAAAATGCAGTGAAATTGAAGGATGTGTTCACTAGTTGGGCCCCTCATCAGGCGGGCCTTACCGTGTATCATGTACCTTAAATTCAAAGACAGATTTGTTTGTTTGTTGTTTAACGTCCCTTTCGAAAATTTATTCACTCACATGGAGACGCCAAGACACCTCCGAAACAATCTTAATTAGTCATGGTAAATTTTATCATCGAATTGTTTCAAGAGAAAAGAATTCCAATTGGCTAAAACCATAAGACTGAGACATCGCCATTGTTTTATGAAGAGCTAATGCCCACATCTGGACGTTTCCAACAAATGCTTGAAAAATTACAGTAGAAAAATGTCGGCCGTTCTGATAAAAACTGATTTTGATGAAATTGTATTTTATAAAACCTGGTTAACAATAAAAAAAATATTTGAATCATCTTATTTAAAAAAATATTTTCAGTCGATGCGATTTAGTTGGGTCGGTCGTGTTAGGGGAAACAAAGGTATTTTTTATTTTAGCCTCAGTCTGGGCTTTTTCCCAAACATGTCTTGTTATTTTTCCAGTGTCATGTGTTCTGGAGGACATTTTGGTCAGTTTCATTGGTGAACTGAAATAAAATAGAATCCTTTCGAGAATTAAGTCATTTCCTGTTTCAAATATAAAGAGCTTTTATGCATTTTGTCGATAAAATCAGTAAATTATTGACATGTAATGATTCACGAATCCAGATTTCAACAGTTATCAAACCCAAAGGTCCTTTGGAGCAGGACACGTGCGACCCTCTAAAAACCAAGATGGAACCAAGTGCCATAAAGAAGTAAACATACCCTGTCGTTCGGACAATTTATCCAGAACATATTTTATTTTACATTTGATAAAATTATAATTTTATTTGTTTTTAAATCTGATTTATTTAGACAGACTACATATTTATCCAAGTTGCTGAGCCGAGTTGTCTGTGGTAGAACTTGGACACGGTCCTTGGCTTACCCTGGTGACTTGGGTTTTGCTTCTGTAAAAAACGAATAAAGTGATTAAAATACAATTGTAGGTGTAGCTCTTAGATAAAAAAAAATATATTAACAGACGGACTTTCAATATCTTCTTTGGGAAATCTTTGGAAAAGACAGATATGTGCAGCTAGCCTGAAATATATGCAGCCTCAAATGACAATTAATTTAACGCTGTCCTTAATATGATTTCGAGCATTTTAAAGAATTGTTACAAGTTATTTAAACGCATTTAAAAGTATTTTTGAACAGGCGCGGATCCAGAAATTTTTTCCAAGGGGGGGGGGGGGGTCCACCCCAGTCCAAAAAAAAAAAAATTTCAACCCAGAAATTTCTTGACAAAAAAAACAACAACAAAAAAAACCCCCTAAACTCGCCCAAACTTCAAAATCCTATTTCGTGGGGGGACGGGGGGGAGGCGATGACTTTTTTATAATGCTTCAAATCTTTTAACTTTTCATACCACTTTAATAAGTTCACGTTTACCAGGGGGGTCTGCGTATTCCAAGGGGGGTCAAAGTTAACTTTTTTCTTGCTTTTGTATATAAATTTAATAATCTTGGAAATTCCAGGGGGGTCCTACCCCCCCCCCCCCCCCCCCCCCTCTAGATCCGCGCATGTTTGAAGCATTAAAACGGAAAGAAAATCTATCTTTGTACCATTTCAGCTTTGAGAACTATACCAATGCATAAACCCTGGAGTCGACCAGAAAATCTCGGAGAAAAGAAAACATGCCATCTTATTAGACAGACTTACAGGCAATTCTCCACATTCATTTCACACTCGTTGCCATACGTTCTTCCATTGGATCCACAGATTGGCAAGTAGATGTAGGGGCAAATCAGACTGCAGTGATGGGTGTCCACAGGGGCGCAGTCTGTCCAGTGAAAAAAGAGTATTTAGATAGAGTTGAAGGAATACATCGGTCACCAAAACGACACATGAGAATGCATGCACTGCCGACAAAAATTGATAGCCTAGATGTGTTATCAACTGTCTTTCCAAGATCATTTTAAAGAAGTTAACATTATTGTAGCTATTCGTCATATCATTTCAATAGACATAGATTAAAATTAAAGTTTCACTTTAAAAAAAATCTGGTTGATTTGAATAAAGAGAGATGAAACATCCTTGATTTAAAATTCTTAATCCTGTTGAAGAAAAAAAAACTTCTATCATGCCTCGTATACTAGTAGATTGATGCCTCTCTGCTTTTTACAGTATATGTACTCACCTTGATTAAAGGTGTTAATTATAAGTATGTCAAATGTCACGGTTGATAGCCGAAATCTAAGAACTCTGTACGACTTTAATTAACTTGCAAGATATGATTGATTGATTGTATATTGTTTAACGTCATGCTCTCGAGAATTTTTCACTCTTGCAAGATATGAGAATTGCTTGTGGAGGCAAGGGGGGGGGGGTCAACAAATTGACCACCAGAAATACCTAAATTTTTAGATATGATATCTTAAGCTGTCGACTATCATTTGAGAAAGAAAATTCTCATACATATTAGTTTTAAATTTTGATCATTTTTGTAAATCTTTATATGGAGCTCTTTTTGCTTACCCAAATTTTATAGCCCCCCCCCCCTCCCCCCTAACCTCCATGATCTTTTCGAGAATATGAGTTTATGTTGAATTCCCTTGCTTAAATGTTGTTTCAAGTACTTTATCGCTGTCATCTTCTGCCTTTCTCACCATTCACAAAATTAGTAAGAATATACTAGGGCGTATGGCATTTTTTTTTTGTCCCCAACTTTTGCGAAAGCGAGGGGACGTTAAATCTCATTCGTCTGTCCGACCGTCCGTCTATCCGTCAGTCTGTCTAGGTGTCCGTTCGTCACAAAAACTTTAACTTTGCCCTTAACTTTTGATTAAGTGGAGCTATGCCTTTTATATTTCACATGTGTATTCCTTGTGACAAGACTTTTGGGTACCACCAATTCAACCTTTTGACCTTGACCTTAGACTTTGGCCCATTTTTACACAAAAATTCAAAACTTTTACTTTGGCCATAACTTTTGAATGGTAGATACTAGGACTTTCATATTTCTTATAAATATTCTTTGTGGCAAGACCTTTCATTGGATATTAACAACTTTGACCTTGACCTTGGAGATTTTCATACTTATGAAAAAACTTTGAACCTTGGCCATAACGTTTGAATGGTGAGGGCTAGGGCTTTCATTGATCACGTATGTAACTCTTGTGAGAAGACCTTTCATTGGATCTCAAGAACTTTTACTCTTTGACCTTGACCTTGGAGTTTGACCTTTTCTTTTAAAAAAAATTAACCTTGGCCACAACTTTTGAACGGTAGATACTAGGACTTTCATATTTCAAATATGTATTCCTTGTGGCAAGACCTTTCATTTGATACTAACAACTTTGAACTTTTGACCTTGACCTTGGAGATTTCCATACTTATAAAAAAAAAACCTAACTTTGTCCATAACTTTTGACTGGTAAGGGCTATGGCTTTCATACTTCACACAAGTAATCCTTATGAGAAGAACTTTTATTAGATATCAAAAATGACATTGACCTTGGCATTTGATCTACTTTTCAACAATTTTAACCTTGGCTATAACTTTTGAACTGATAGGGTTAGGATTTACATATTTCACATAATATGCAAACCTTGTAACATATCCTTTCTCAATAAACCAACAACTTTGACCTTTCAAAAATTTATCCTTGGCCATAACTTTTGAATAGGTGGTGCTAGGGATTTCGTATTTCAAAACTTTGTTTCTTGTGAGAAGACCCTACTTTGGGTAATAATATATTAAATTTGCACTTAAAAGTTTAATCTTCGCTGTGTTGCCATACGGGGTCTTCAGTGTTTCACAAACGTATCTTATTCCTTATACACATGTATTGAAAAGAGATAAGGATTTAACATGCTCATTACCTGTGACAAGATATTTCCAAGCATGTTATGATTTCTGACCCCTTGGCCTTCACAATTGACCTTATTTAAAAAAAAATCAACTGCAGTGATAATTTCTAAATAATATATGATAGGGCATTCATATTTTACACAATATGTCATAAAACATGACATCTCACCCACAAAGACACCGAAAGCGGAGGACTACAATTCTTTGTTTAAATTAATGATTAATAATTAAGAGATAATTTAAATAATAGATTGGCATTTGATTTTTAATGGAGAAATACTTACAGACTGTTGAAAATAAGAATATAAGGCACAAAATAACCTTCATGGCTGTGAGGACAACTTGTTCTATAGAACTGTACAGAAAGAGTGGGTATTCTCTCTTATCTAACACTTTGTTTGGGTCACTATATATTTATATATACTTGATATCTATAATATGCACGCACGTTTAATGTATACTAGGCAAAAATAGGGAAGAATCGTATTAAATATAAATATATGTAAAAAAAAAATATATTACATAAGAAAAATATTTCCATACCTTTGAATTTATATGACAACAAGGCGTTATTAATGTTTAAAAAATATGTCATTCACATAATTCTATACTTGAGTAACACGTGTTGAATGAGTTTTGCCAAATTGCTCAAGAAAGTGCGTGGCGTTAAAAAGGTTACTAGTTGTAGAACAATAGGAGCATAGAAGTATCAAAGAGAGTTTTCTTTAGTGACCACACGAAAGTTTCAGTATTTCTGGCCATAACTGGTGATAAGAGGCCATAAGTAGACATAATTATGTGTATTGATTAATGCTCCAGGGAAGTAGGGATGCTGGGAGCTGGCAAAAACGGAACGTCGCCATGCAGAGACTTCATGTTTCCAAAAGCGTAATTAGCCGTTTATGGAACCGATATTTACAGGCAGGAAATTGTAAAAAAAAAAAAAAAAAAAAGAAAAAAAAAAGCATGTCTTCTATCAGACTTGTCAGATCCAATGTTTAATTTTCAAACTTTGAATATAAAATATACTAAAATTAATAAAACTGCATTCTGTTTTCTATGATAGAGTTTTTATTTAAGATGGTGATCCTTAACTTTTTTGTCCAGTATATTTACATCTATATGGTTATTAAAATTTTGATAAATTCCGTCCGTCTGTAAACTTTTCACATTTTCAACTTCTTCTCAAGAACCACCGGGCCAATTTTAACCAAACTTGGTACAAAGCATCATTGGATAATGGGGAGTTTAAATTGTAAAAACGAGGGGCCAAGTCCCCTTCCAAGGGGAGAGAATCAAGAAAAGACAAAGATAGGATGGGTTTATTAAAAATATTCTTCTCAAGAACCAGTGGGCCAAAAAAAGCTGAAACTTATGTGGAAGCATCTTGGGGTAGTGTAGAATCTAAATTGTTGAAATCATGACCCCGGTGGTAGGGCGGGGCCACAACAGCACCAAAGTTTTAATAGAAATGTACTGTAAAAGAAATATTAATATCACTGTCAGTATTCAGAATTTTAGCGCCTTTGGCGCAAGAGCCCCTGAACGCTAAAATTTATTGTGCGCTTCCGGATTTCTAAATGTCAGTTTTTGTGTGTGTTCAAAGCTTTTACATAAGTACATGTAAACCGCAACGCGCGATTACGTAATGTCGAAGGGTCATTGAATTTTATATACACACTAGCATTGCCATGTTCGGAAGACAGAAAGTTCTGAAAAGACAAAAATAGGATGGGGTCATTAAAAAATCTTCTTCTCAAGAACCAGTGGGCTAGAAAAGCTGAAACTTATGTGGAAGCATCCTGAGGTAGTGTAGAATCTAAATTGTTAAAATCATGACAAAACACTGCAAAGGGGATAGGGCGGGGTTACAAACAAGAATGAATAATTTTCAAGTTTTACATAGAAATATACTGGGTATTGAAAAAATCATCACAATCGCCATACTTCTAAGGGTAATAAATTGTGTTTTCTTAATGGAACTTTGTATTCAAATTTTTGTATCCTAAAAGATGTCAATATGATTTTTATAAAACAAAAAAAAGGTGCAGTTGTCCGTGAAATTTCCTGATAGCTGCATCACTACTAGATATATTTTAGATAAAATCCTACACCAACTTTTTATCTGACCTTTAATCCCATAAAAGTTTTAGATATAAAAACAATATAGATAATTTTTAAGCAATATCAAAATTACAAAAAGTTATGAAAGCACTAAATAATTTTTTAAAAAGCTTTACATTTGTCCTTGGAAAGGTACTTTTAAAAAACCTTGTGATCATTGATTATAATTCTTTTCAGATAATTTCCAAAATATGTGACCTTTTAACCCGTCATACACTATAAGAGTAAAATAATTTACTTCTCCCATAAATGTCAAGGTGTATTAACATAAAATAATACATAATTTATTCCAATAAAATTAGATAATAAGAAACAAGTATCACAGAATAATTGTAATCTTCCGATCAGTTCTCTTGAAACACTTTGATGTAATGAATCAGTTGTGACAGTTTTTTTTATCAAAATGTTTTTTTCTTCACAGACTCCAGAATTATTAATCATCTTCTTCTGAACCTTCTTCATTCTACAACAGATAAATAAAAACTTACATGTAGGTAAAGATTTCAGAAAAATATTAAAGAAACGGTGTTGAAGAAAATATAACATTTTGTCAATTTATCCCATCTCAGTTTAAGTTTATATCCAAAGAAAAATGAACTAAATGTATCATGGTAGTACAAATCAATTCAAACATTATACAATTTAAATGGTCTTGAAAATCTGAACTAATACTTCTATCCATATACATCTAAAAGAGTCAAATGTACCTGTAGATAAATTTACATCTAAATCAGAACACTTTCCTTCCTCTTTTCATTTTTTCAACATTAAATACATTCTAAATATGCTAAGCTAAAACAGCACAAGAAAATGTCGTTTATCTTATTTTGAGTTAACCCCCTTAATAACTGAGTACGCTCATTTTACAATAAGTCTAATTAGATTGATTTTACAATTTATCAGTTTATAAATATCCTTTACAGTATTAGTGTTTATCATTTTATTACTGTATTATTGTTCTTCTTTAATTTTTTTTAGTACTATTAAAGAAACTTTTCCTTTGCTATGATAGTTTAGTGTGTGACCATGAAAAAACTTTGTATATAGCAGTATAGGTACCAAAAACAAAATATTAATTACTTATTAAAATATTTTTCAACAAAAAAAAATATATAGAGTATGAAATGAAAAAAAAACAAGACATGACAAGCAAGCAGTATGATTATGAAGCAGAATAAAAATATACAGTAAGCATGGACAAAGCACAGAAGCCAAATGAGAATAGTTTGATATACACATCATATATATAGATATACATTTTTTCTATTCTACATGATGATGTATAGATGCAATATATATACCCATCACCAGAATACACCAGATCTAAGTCATACATATAACTTCTACATTAAATCACCTTGCTCTCCTTCTGCTGTGTTCTGGAATTCAAACATACAAGTAAGTCCATATGTATAATGATTATTCATATATGGAGAAATGGGACAGTCTATTTTATGTGCTGGATTTGACCTTTGTTGTGTGACTAGTTGCTCTGTATAGTATTTTGCTGATCTAAGACAAATCTGTGAGACTTTTGTGGCTGATATGATTGCTTCGTTTGACTTACATGTATGTGGTACACCTGATTGCTATGTCTGACTATTGTGGTAGACCTGATTGCTATGTATGACTATTGTGGTAGACCTGATTGCTATGTCTGACTATTGTGGTAGACCTGATTGCTATGTCTGACTATTGTGGTAGACCTGATTGCTATGTATGACTATTGTGGTAGACCTGATTGCTATGTCTGACTATTGTGGTAGACCTGATTTCTATGTCTGACTATTGTGGTAGACCTGATTGCTATGTATGACTATTGTGGTAGACCTGATTGCTATGTCTGACTATTGTGGTAGACCTGATTGCTATGTCTGACTATTGTGGTAGACCTGATTGCTATGTCTGACTATTGTGGTTGACCTGATTGCTATGTCTGACTATTGTGGTAGACCTGATTGCTATGTCTGACTATTGTGGTAGACCTGATTGCTGTTTTTGACTATTGTGGCAGACCTGATTGCTTTGTTTGACTTGTGTGGTAGACCTGATTGCTTTGCTTATTCTAGGAATCTGATTGCTAAATGTAAAAATTGTAGTAGATTTATTTGCTCTGACTATTAGGTCATAGATCCGATTGCTCAGATTGATTTGTGTGGTGGAATAGATTGCTCTGTCTAGCTATTGTTGTAGATCTCATTGCTCTGTCTGACTGGAGTCAGACAATTGCTCTATTTGACCTACTCAGTGACCAGTAATGTGACCAGTTTCCCTGCTGTCTTACCTCTGCGGCTAGCTCCTCCTGCCTCCTCTGTTCGTAGATCTGCTCTGCCTCCTCACGCTCCTCATCATTATACTCCTCCTTGTCCAGCCTCTCCAGTTTCCTCAGCGTGATCAGCACCTCAAGTCTGTAGTCCTCCTCCTCAGCCGCGGGGTTCTCTGTTAATTACAGAATAGCCTCAATTTGATAATGTGTATACAGTAAAACTTGGCTATAATGAAGTCACTGTGACCTATGAAATTACTTCGCTATATCCGTAATTTGTTATATCCATATAAGGAATCCATAAATTTATATAGCTGGGGATCCAAGATAACTTTGCTACATCCTTGAATTCGCAATATCCATGTTCGTACTAATAAATGAGTTTTACTGTAGTTCAAATATTTTAGCCTTTTTCTTTTACAGTTATCTATACAATCTTTACTAGCCAAGGGTTTATGACAATATATAGTGCATTGGAATATCTGCCGCTATGCAATGAGTTTTTGCCCTTTTTCCCTATTAATTATTTAAGGTGTATTTGAACCTTATTTATGTCCTTTGCAAACATAGGAAACTGTTTGAATAAAGAATGTACTTTAAGCCCTTGATACAATAAATGATTCATTAAAGGAAGTGCTTTTAAAGCTGAATATCAAGAATACTTTGTATTTAGGAATGTTCAACATCTTTTGAAAATATAATTTTGTGGACAACAAATTGTTGATTGCACAGCAAAAAGACCCATCATGTTAGAAAAATAAAATGAGAGAATCCCTACAATAACAAATCCAATTAGATATTCATTTCAAGACATAAATATTCATTCCTTCGATCTATTCCTTCGATCTGGACAATGTTTCATTATTTCATTGTGTTAATTTTGTTAAAGACAGAATTTTGCAATGTTTAGAGGAGCTTCTTTACTCCATAGTTCTAAATCTGTTCCATGACTGAATCATTCACGAATTTATCTAACACAATAAGAGGAAATAACTCTTATATAACTAAAATACGTAAACTTTTTTCTTCACAATAAAAAAAAAAATCCAGGGGGTTTGGGGAAAAATCACACTTGCGTTAAAACTTGAGTGTAATTCAATGCTTGATTTCACCCTTTAAAAAATTGACAAAAGGAGATTAAACACAAAATTCACTGGATCATACAAAACATTGGAGATTAGTGGATTTAAGCTTCATTGTTGCACTACTCTGGTAGTTTTGTTGCAATTTATAAAACTTAAGGAATACATGACTATGCAAAAAAAAAACAAACAACAAACAAACAAACAAACAAAAACAATTAACACAAGCTGTTAAACATTTACAGCTGCAGTGTACATGTATTTGAAAACATATGTAGAATGTCTCATTGATAGACAGAAATGTGAATCACATTAATTTTACCTGATAATACCAGGGCTCTCAACATGGGTAGAACTTGGAGTTTCTGTAATTCCTTCAAAGAAGTTATATTGTTTCCTCTGAAATAAAAAATATTAAAAATGTAGAAAAATAAACATTGTGTAGAACAGAACTAAAAAAAAACATCTCAATTGTATAAAACTTCGTATCTTCTAATTATACAATACATTGAATCATGAATTTGTCAAAGCGACTGGTGGTCCTATATTTAGAGTGTTTATTGTCATCTTTTGACACGCCCATTTCTTTAGAAATTGATAAATAATATATGTAGAACAGGTTTTCCATAAATATAATAGCCAATCAAATTGAGGATCTAAATAAAACCATCATTTGCAAAAATGTGAGGGCACTATTAACTATCCTACAGATCTGATAGCTGATCTAAATTGTGCAAACATTTGTTTTACCATTTCCACTATATTTTTAAAGCTCCATTTCAGTGTAACTCGATCATGATGCTTATAAATAGAATGGGATGTCCTAAAACTCCAATATTACTTTCAGTTTCTAAAAAATTTCTTCATAAAGCTGTAATTGACCTTCAAAACATGACTCATAACTTTTCATCCAAACGGAGAATTTTACCACTTCAATGCGCTTCATTGTATTCTATGCATTGAACCATGAATTTGTCACAGCAACTGTTGGTCCTGACTTGATTAAGAATTCAATTCTCAATTAAATAATATATTAGTACTAATCTTGTACCCCCATTCAAATAGAGTCAATAAAACCATCATTTGCAAAAATTTCATGTTATTTAACCTTGAAAGACTGATAGCTGAAATTTAATTGCAAATATATTAATTGCCATTTATCATAATATTAAGTCACTGGTTCAACTCAGTTTGCAATGATTTCTTCAAATCCAAGATGACAGTTAATCCAAAATTTATTCCAATAAAGCTGCATACCTAAAATTGATGTATTGTAACAAAATCATAACAAAGTAGGGTTAACTGGTTGTCTCTCAGATTTTCACGACACCTTATTTTCACGAGGCCTAATCCTGACTTTCTTGATTGTATTTTAGCAAGAGTAAAAGTTCAATTTCTAATTAATTTCATGTTATTAACCTTGAAAGACATGAACTGAAATTTAATTCAGAAATATATTAATTGCCTTATCATTGCGAATATTTCTCGCTGCAAAGTTGTCCTGAAAGTATCTGTGTCTATTAACAACAGATACATGTAAAAAAGGCTTGATTGCCAAAATCGTAACAAAGTAGTTAACCCCCCGGTATATCGGGAAATAAATTTTTTGCAAATAAAGGTTGGTTAACAGTATTTTATAGATTAAGAAATTAGATTTCCAAGCAATATTGAAAAGACATTGCTATCACTTCATCATCCAAATGTTTACAGAATGTCAAAGGGAAAATAAAATACTGTAAAATCACATATTTCTATGGGCTCAAATTTTTGTGGTTTGAGGAAAAACTCTTGATTTGTGGGGATTTTATTTCGCGGATGAAAAATTGTTGAGTAGTTATGTATGTAGCATTTTACATTTCATGGTGTACATGAATTCATGTGTCTCTTCAGGCCTCCAAATCATGAAAATTAAACCCCCATGAAAATGTGTGACTTCACAGTAAATGGACAAGGAATCAGAAAAATTTCCTAAAATGTGGATTAATTCTCTTACCATGAATAAATTCTTCAAGTTAGGAAGACAGACACCGTCCGTGGTTTCCAGTTTGTTTCCTCTTAGTTCCAGTGTGTGAAGACGAGAAAGCTTGATGGGATCTAATCCTGATACTTGAGTGATCTCGTTATCTACAATCAGCCAAATTATTGTCAGAGTTCAAATAAACCATCAAAAAAATTGCTCTTTTAACCACTGAAAGTGGAAGGAACCTAATGATGCCTATAAGTTTTGTGATACCAGCATCTCATATTTTGTGTATGTCAATGTGAGCTGACTGCTCAGAGATACAGATGAGAGAATGGCAATTCATTTTCTAAATAATTCTTATCGTACCTTTTATGGTTTTATAAGGTACGGCATTTCTAACGTATTTGGATCTGTCAATATGTTGGGTTTTTTTCAAATGAGAGAATGGCACTTTTTTCCTAAAGAATTCTTATTGTACCTTTTAGGGTTTTTAAAAGGAACAGCATTTGCAATGTATTTGGATCTGTATGCTGACTACTTGATTAAAATACAGTAAAACTCGGTTATAACATAGTCACTGGGACCTATAAAATTACTTCCCTATATCAGTAATTTGTTTATTGGTATAAGGAATTTGTTAAATCTATATAGTTGGGGATCTAAGATAACTTTGCTATATCCCTGAATTCGCAATATCCATGTTTGTACTAAACGAGTTTTGCTGTATGTATACTTTTTTTTTTTTAAAAAGAGAGAATGGCACTTTTTCTAAAGAATTCTTATTGTACCTTTTAAGGTTTTTATAAGAAACAGCATTTCTAATGTATTTGGATCTGTATATTATGCTGACTACTTGATTAAAATATATATATATCTTTTTTTTTTTGTTTGTTTGTTTTTGTTTAGGGGGGGGGGTTATAATCCAACATATATTAAATATCAAATATTTAAAGATTTATATTCTTGGCATATTTTATTAATTTAAAAGTGTAAGTATATAGATGATCTAGGAACAATTTTGTAATCATGAAATTTTCTTGACATCTACACTATATGTTTGAAAGAGTTATCTCCCTTCACATGAACATAAACTGACAGATCTTACCATTCAGACTCAGATGTTCCAACATGGGATGATTTACTCCATCCAAAGTTTTAATTTTATTTTTGTTGAAGCTTGCAATTTGTAAGAAAGGCATTTCTTCTAACTTTGCTGTTGTGAGTAAGTTATTGTCTGCTTTCAATGTCAATAGATGAGTTAATACACTTAAAGAGCTGATATCCTTCAATTTATTTCCACTCAAGTCTATGTATCGGAGATGTATAAAACCTTTTAGTATGCTGATATCTGTAATTTCTCTACAAAAGAAAGGATACAAAGTATATAACTAAACAAATTTGTATTTGATAAAGTAAAACTGTCTATCTAAATGAAAAAATTTCTAAAAGTTTATTCAATAACATTTTTTTTTTGTGCATGCTTCACATTTCAGTATTGAACATATAACTTTATTTCAACACTTTCCTTTTCATTCTCTGTGTTAATTGTCAACAACAAACGTCATCACTTATCATTTGACCACTTGACTCTGGTATCAGGCATTAAGTGTATGGCTCACATAAAGCAAGTTTTACATTTTAAACACAAACCATAAAATATAGCAAAATACCAACACAACAAAATATGTTTTTTTTGACATAAAAAAAAGAGTTGATGACAATTGTAACCCAAATATTATTCACATCAACTTTTATTCGCAATTTGTCAGTTTGAAAACAATCTGCGGGCGATAAATTTTAGACTGAGAAAACATTCTCTATATAAATGGTTTGTGGTGATTTATATTCAAGAGTTAAGGTAAGTTGCAAAACTCGTGAATATTTCTCGCTCTTAAAATTTGTTTACAGTAATGTTTGTTGAATTAAATCATTATAATTACCTATCATGTATGTCTAATCTGACATAGGCATGCGCTAGACCATCACCTGTCTTGCACAATAAAGACAAGCACTCTCCAACCGTCTCCTCTGTCAGTGGATTCTCAGGAACTTTCTAAAAACATAATACAACAATATAGTTTATGATTGTTAAATTTTTTTTCAAAACTGAGAAACAATAAACATTTGGTATATGCCTACATTGTGTGTATGGAGAGAGAGAAAAGGGAAAAACAGATAGAGGCTGGGCGAGAGGATCAGAGAGAGAGAGAGAGAGAGAGAGAGAGAGAGAGAGCAAAATACATAAAATAAATACATGAGACCCAACGTATCTAATTACACTGACAGTAGCATAAAACATTTATCACCTCCTCCTCCTCCTCTTCTTGTTTTTCCTCTTCTTCTCCTAATTTCTCTTCTTCCTCACCTAACTGTTCTTCTTCATCACCACCTTCACGTACTGCCTCCTCCTCTTCTCCCATCTGTTCCTCGGTGTCCGACATTTTTGCAGTTTATTCTCTCACTGTTCGATGCACAACGTGAAAATGTTATGATTACAAAAAATGGCGGACCGTTGTCAAGGAGATCGCTTGTGTGGAGGCTAATATTTTTTAGATTGTTTCGCCCAAAAATATGGTTTTGCATAAAATCATGAGACAGTTCGCGACTTTTGATAACTTTAGTGTAAAAACACAAATAATCTAACAAACTGAGGTCTTTAAAGTAAACAAACAACAGAACGAAGACTTGTACTCAAATCTCGCAGCAGACGCCAATGAACGAGACCTCATCATATGGGCTGGAGGAGTGAGGTAAGGATAAGTAGTATATTTTGAAACTTTAAAAACTTTCCAAAAGTGTAAAAATTTGACCTATTTGGTAGTATTTTGCTTAGTAGACACATTGTTATTTTATTTCCGTATAGAGTCCGAGAGAGTGTTGTTCAGTTTTGTAGTTTTACCAAGGAAAACTGCCGTTAAAAAATTAGTGACAGTTTTGTACTTTTCACCCAAAAAAGGTAGTGTACAATTATTATCGAAGTACACATACTGCAATGTATCACAGGTCAGAAAAGGGTGCGTAACATTTTGATTGTTTGCCAAATACACTATTATTTTTGCTAAATTCTTTTATATACTTTCTAATATTCACGAGATTTGACTTTTAAGCAAAAAATTGCATGTTGTTATTTGGACTCGTTTCTGCTTGGGCTTTAATCCCAGCTGGCAGTATTACAAGTATGAACTGTATTGGCGTTGGTTAGTTGTCATATTGAATTTAAAAAAAAAAATAATGTTGCAGCATCTCTTTTTTCATTCTGCAATTTTTTTCCAGTATTTGATTGAGAGAGATCTAGAGGTTTATTATGATACGATGCATTATTTATGTACAATATAATATATTGTTACTCTGCATTTTATCAGTTTGAGATTAGCAGAAATAATATTCTGTGTTACAAAGTTCATTAGATATGACTCTATAAATTTGTGCACTTAAGAGAAAAGTGTAAACAGATTTATATTAAAAATATATAAGTACATAAATACACAGCATGAGAAAAAATCTATTAAGCCCATTTAAAATCTTTGTCATAAAAGATGCTGCTTATTTAAAGAATATATGAATAATTTTCTATTAATTAAGTTTCATTGAATTTTAATGTAGATTGTTTACTTTGAGCTATTTATTAGATTTCTAAAGTTGACTGATAAAATATTTTGTTTTTGTTGCCATAGGAACTGTCTTCATTTATAGCCACCAAAACATGTAGGATCATGTATAATCTGGTAAAGCCACCCTTTATATACAACAACTGTGCTATTTATCTTTTTACCTGACCTGAAATAAATTTCTTTGTTTGGGGTCACCCATTGGTAATTGTCATAGTTACGAGATACCTTTTTGTCTCAAATTTTGAACTTTAAAAGATTAGTCTTATATTTACTGTAGGGAGTTGGCACCCAACCAGTAAATTATTTTATTTTATTCTTGTCTTTTCATAATTGCTCTTTAACTGTAAATGTTAAATTCTTTAATAAAAATTTAATAGTACATTGACCACAGTTTAAAACACAAAGTCTCTCGAGATTAAGGATTTTTTAAATAAAAAGACCATTGCAGTATGAGGACCCATTGTGTTCTTTGCTTTAAACCCCAAATCGCAAGGTATGAGTATTTTTTGGTTGCCTTTTTTCCTCATAATTTAAACAAAGCAGAATTCAAAATTTCTAACTTGAAGGAAATTTTGCTGTCATTTCATACTCATGTATATGAAAATATGCAAAATAGTCAGCAAAAAAATTATGTTTCATATTTTAAAAGCTTTCTGTACACTTCATTTTACCTCAAAACTGTAAAATCTTTATGGTATATAAATAACTTTTTAATGATTTATCATACTAGAGAAAGCTTTGCCGATATGTCAATGGTTTCCAGTGGTAACTTCAACAATAAGTAAAGCTGTTAAACGACATTTCTCTACTTTACTGAAGAATAATACATGTTTGACCTCTTGTCAATAAAAATTTTACCTGAGAATGTTTATATATCTTTGGAAGGCCCAGAATTTTGTGCATTTAAAATAATTTATTGGGACGAAATAAAAGTCATCAATATTATGGCATATTTGTTTGAAATTATTTTTATTTTAATTTTATTTTTTAAGCAAAATTTGTAAAGAGGATTTAATATAAATTCTGGCATTGCAGATTTAATAAGTGCTGTATAAAGTAATTTAGACTAGATTTCCAATTTGATATAATACACAAATAAATTGTGAATGCAAACACCAGCTCATTTTACGTCATTCGGCTGTACTCTTTAAATTATTTGACATGTACATTAATTGACTTTGTGATATTCAGTGATTTTTGTTTAAATATTGGATATATATTTCCCTAGCAATGAGAGAAACAAAGGAGTAGCACATAAAATAGAAATTGCAATTTAGTGTGAATCTATGGATATTTTTCACTCAGTATGGATATCCAATAATTCCCCATCCAGATAATTTTCTGGCCCTCTCTTGAAATAATAGGTTTGTAGTATTCCTGCAACTGTTGAATGATTTGAATCTACAAAAGACAACAATTAAATCTTCTCATGTGCGAACAGTTTCAATTGACTAGCTTAAAAAAAAATTCTGTAGAATTGCTGAATCTGCCAGTGTATAAATTGTCTCTATATAAGATGATTGATTTCACCTTGTTTCATTGTTCATTCTACTTTGGGACCTAGGCATCGTTATAGCAACCCAGAATTATTTATGCATGCCTGTAGTTGCACACTAGTCAGGTTGTCATGGAAATGGCCAAATTCACAGGTATATTGAACAGGTATTGAATACCTAATAATAATTTGATTTGGTGTAAGCTGATAGGAGTTTTGTGTCCTGGGACAATCAGAGGAAAGGGAAACTGGTATAGTGTTAGCATGGAAACAGGCTGCAGCAGAATTAGCTTTTATTGATAGATCCATACATTTATCTCTCCAGGCTTGAATAGTTAGACATACCTGTATAATTCTCCCAGGATTGAGAACATTAGAACAGGTAAAAAAAAATATCATTGAGTAAGTGAATGAACCAAAAAAAAAGTTGATTTAAAAGTTTATCCTTGGTAAGAAAATGTTCAAATATTGAAAATTACATGATTTTGAATTTTAGAATATTAAAATTTGTTGAATATATTTGAATAAGTTTTAGTCAAGCATTATACTATTTTAAAAGCTTGATTTTCTAAATAATGATTTTTTTTTTTAATTTGATACATGTACATCTTTAATAATGCATGTATATGAAGAGATTTTCTTATTAAAAAAAATTGATGATGGAATTTTTTTTTGCAGCCATATAAGCCATTCTAGAATTTCATCTTTAAAATGTGTTCATTATAACTTCCTTGTTGATTTATTAAGCCCAATTTTTTTAATTGCTAAAAAAAAATTATCTTAGATTACATATGCAATTTATTAATACCAGTATTTGAATTTCATCTGTTGCCACACAGTTACATACTTACTTCTGTAAAACAAAAAGCATTTGACAGTTCATTAAAGGAAAATAATTTCAGCATATGACACATAAATCAGGTCTTTCAAAAATTAATGTAAAAATGGTTCATGGTAGTTCATTAGCTGATTTGAGCATGCATAATATAAATTTTCATGAATTCAGTCATGTAGCAAAATCTTGTGAATGACACATCCTTAATCACAGATGATTTACTGCTAAGTTGTTCCATTTTCTTCTGTAAGTAAAAGGGAAGAAAAAAATCTAGTTCCTGTGAAACTGAAGTTACCAAGGAAACAGACACAAATTTTTCTGTAAAATAATTGTGACAGTATAAGTGATCTAAATAAGGAACTAATTGTTATTGCTGTAGAAAAAAAGGGCAAATGCATCTAATGTGAATGTCTAAATTTGTAAAATCCTGCAGTTACTGTATGTCTGGAACATTTTAGGGGGTAAAATTAAAGCAGGAAAAAAAATGAAGAGAAATTTTATTTATAACATTAATACATATACTAGTCAACCACTGAATTGGTAAACTCAGGCTGGACTTTTTTTCTTTGGCAGGGAAATGTAATGAAGATTTTAAAGAAATAATTGAGAAGAATTTGGGAAAATGACAGCTAAGGTGAAAGTTCGAACTCTAGATGCAATATGTGCAAAGTTAAAATCGATAAATGGGGAAGAACATTCTGAAATCACACTTAAGAAGGAGGAAGATGGTGCACCAATTACAAATGAAGATGCTGAAAACCATCCAAACGATACTTCTGTAGAACTAGACAATGCAAAAATTCTCAAAGAAGTGGAAAAAGAAAACGATGGAAGGTCATCAAGGCGGAAGAGCAGGAAAGCTTCGGCCCCAAGAAATATCGCTCAGGTCAGGGAAATACTTGATAAGTTTGAATGTGCGGACGACGGTGATGAATTGGCAGGGTACGAAATAAACAATCAAAATACTGACTTTCCGCCTGAAGTCGAGGAAGATACAAGTTTGGAAGAAGATGACAGTTCGTCGAGGAAGGAAGATTTATCTAAGTCTGCAGAGTCAGAGAATAATAGCCCTGTATCCGTCAGTATTAAAAATTCTTTCCACAGTCGAAAGCAGTCACGAAAACCCCGCAAGTCAACTCAGGCCTTCAGCAACAAATGCAACATTAATAGCAACAGCACAGCACCCCTTGATCTCTCCATAGCCAAGTCAGCAGAAGACAGCAGCAACAATGCTGAAAAAGATGTTCAGGAATCGAATCAGTCTAGTCACGTAATGCAAACTTCCTGTGATCAGAGAACAAACTCTAATGTAGACTCTGCTAATAGTCAACCTAAACCAACTTCTCCCAAATTCAAAGTCACAGAAAAAACAGAGAAGCAAGAAATGACAGTATTAAAAGATTTTGCCGAGTCTACGATGAACGAGTTATTATCTATGTACGGTTTTAGCGGAGGTTCCGCGGAGTCAGTCATTCCACAAATTCCTTCCAATAACTTTACGTCTAATCTTATTCTTCATGAACAAACTTCTCCCGATGTGCCAAAGCTGCATGTTAACAAAGCCATTCCTCCCCTTGTCTCATCAACTGTTGTCGCAAATAATGTGGTAACCA